TTGAACATTGCTCAACTTTGAATCCTGAAAATCCTGAAAATCTCCTCTCTGCTTCCCACAATGCAGTTCGGCGAAAAGTGAGGCAAAGTGACGTCACCCCATTCAAAGTGAATGGGCAGAAGCGTTCCAAGATTTTTTTAACGCTGCTGTGTGGACGGGCCGTTACCGAGACCCCAAAGTGTTATGATCGAAATGCCAATATTGGTACTTTTTACTACATTTCGAGGCCATTATATATCGATTTTGAAGCCATTATTGTACTTTTTACTACATTTTGAAATCATTATTTGTACATGTTACTACATCTGGGAGCCCGTATTACATTTTGAAGCCAGCATTGTACTTTTTATTACACTTTTGGAATCACTATCAACATTTTACTACATTTTGAAGCCAGTATTGTCCCTGTTCCTCCAGATACGACCGTCCTCTCCACCTCTGGAGGGACAGATGGAGATCTGCTCCGTCAGATGGAGGACGTCTGGCAGACATTTCTGGACCAGGTGCTGATGAGCCGAGGATTAAATATCTTAACGACTACTGCTCAGTGATGGGATGTAGTGATGTACGTTTACTCAAGCGCTCTACCTATAGATTTAAAAACTATCATAATTTACAATTCTATTCCACTACATTTTGTACTTTTTACTACACTTTTGATTACATTCTGGAACCAGTATTATATGTATTACTACATTTTGGAGCCATTAATGTACCTTTTACAACATTTTGAAGCCAGGATTGTGCTTTTTATTACATTTTGTAGACATAATACTACATTTTGGAGCCTGTATTTTACTTTTTACTACATTTTGGAGCCAGTATTTGTACTTTTTACTACATTTTGAAGCCAGTATTGGTATTCTTTACTATATTTTGGAGCCATTATTTGTACTTTTCAATACATTTTGAAGACACTATTGAACTTTCTACTACATTTGGAGCCAATATTGTACTTTTAACTACATTTTGATGCCATTATTCTACACTCACATCACTAAAGTTTCATTTTGGCAAATTGTGATAACCTACCGGGTCTCAATCAGTAAGAAGTCATGCACTTTGTGATGCATGATAAAAAGAGCAGCTGTATTTGATATAGAAACACGTTAAATCTGCTGCCAGAGGTCTGAGGTTCAGTGATTCAGTCCAGCTAAGCATATGGTTGAGTTATCATCAGGAGTGAAGGGTTAACTGAACCCAAACACCACATAAATCACTGACAAAGACACTGGAAATATAATATATCGCAGCTGGTTGGTAGATTTTCCATGGCGAAATGACATTGCATGGAAGTATACACTCAAATATGAAGAGATTTGCTTTGGTTGAAACTAAAGTTGTTGCTTTGAACGTCTTAGAGTTGCAGGTACGCGTTTGCAATTTCAATTTTGATGGCATTTATGCTTGGCATTTTTCCCAGTAAATGAATATGTGCACGTTGCATTCAAATCGGTTGCTGCCTCGTTCAGACACAGCATGTTATTATCAATCAGGGGAATAAAGACATGGATAAATCTACTGAAATGACAGGAATGAAATGTGAAATCTAAATCACTCAAGCTCCTGAAGGACTCTCTCAATGAGCATGACTAATGCTGTGTTTATAATCAATGCTTTTCAACAGGAGTATGCAGCGTTTGATGGAAATTGATGACGCACGCTGCTTACTTTACCTAAATCACAGAATTAGATCGGAGCACGTCACTGGAGATATAGCTTTTGTTGTTTCTGAATGAAGTTATTATGTCTTTCCTCTCTGAAGCAGGCAGGTTCGTGGAAGATGTTTACATGAATTGATAAAAGGATGCACCTGCTGTGGAGAAACACGTGTGGGTCTGCTCAATTTGGCAGAATGGTTAATATGAAATTGGTTTCTTTTTAGTTCTGGTCTGCTTCATGTTTACGAAAAACAAACGTCAATGTTGGCATCTTCATGGACTCAGGATGTCATAAGTGACAATAGGTCAGATTCTGCTAATTTTATGGTGTATATCAGTATGTAGTGTCTCTACTTTAAAGAGTCCTCTCCTGCTGATGTTCAGGTGTATATCAGTATGTAGTGTCTCTACTTTAAAGAGTCCTCTCCTGCTGATGTTCAGGTGTATATCAGTAGTAGTGTCTCTACTTTAAAGAGTCCTCTCCTGCTGATGTTCAGTTGTATATCGTAATGTAGTGTCTCTACTTTAAAAGAGTCCTCTCCTGCTGATGTTCAGGTGTATATCAGTATGTAGTGTCTCTACCTTTAAAGAGTCCTCTCCTGCTGATGTTCAGGTGTATATCCGTATGTAGTGTCTCTACTTTAAAGAGTCCTCTCCTGCTGATGTTCAGGTGTATATCAGTATGTAGTGTCTCTACTTTAAAGAGTCCTCTCCTCCTGCTGATGTTCAGGTGTATATCAGTATGTAGTGTCTCTACTTTAAAGAGTCCTCTCCTGCTGATGTTCAGGTGTATATCATATGTAGTGTCTCTACTTTAAAGAGTCCTCTCCTGCTGATGTTCAGGTGTATATCAGTATGTAGTGTCTCTACTTTAAAGAGTCCTCTCCTGCTGATGTTCAGGTGTATATCAGTATGTAGTGTCTCTACTTTAAAGAGTCCTCTCCTGCTGATGTTCAGGTGTATATCAGTATGTAGTGTCTCTACTTTAAAGAGTCCTCTCCTGCTGATGTTCAGGTGTATATCAGTATGTAGTGTCTCTACTTTAAAGAGTCCTCTCCTGCTGATGTTCAGGTGTATATCAGTATGTAGTGTCTCTACTTTAAAGAGTCCTCTCCTGCTGATGTTCAGGTGTATATCAGTATGTGTCTCTACTTTAAAGAGTCCTCTCCTGCTGATGTTCAGGTGTATATCAGTATGTAGTGTCTCTACTTTAAAGAGTCCTCTCCTGCTGATGTTCAGGTGTATATCAGTATGTAGTGTCTCTACTTTAAAGAGTCCTCTCCTGCTGATGTTCAGGTGTATATCAGTATGTAGTGTCTCTACTTTAAAGAGTCCTCTCCTGCTGATGTTCAGGATTTGTGCTTTTATGTGTTATTTTTTGTGCCGTTTCACTTTCTTCCTCTTTATCTCCACCCTACCTTTTCAATACCAGGAGTATTTAATGTTACCATTAACTTCTTCCCTCGGTCACTACAAACCCTCACGCACCGACTAGGAGTTGATTCAGAAAACTGAAGGTCGATCTCATTATCATTCTCCCCGGATAACAGCGTGAGCTAAGTGCGTAAAAAGCTCATGGGAATATATAGCTGTGTCTCCTCGATGGTGTGTTTTGCATAATGGGAGGCACACAGCTGTTCCCCGAGGAGCCTCTGGCCCCGAGAGAATGAACCGTAATAGCTGCAGGCGTCGAGCTACAAGCAAATACGATCCAGTCCAGAGGCTTCAAACAAACGAGCTTAAAAGCAAATCTCCCGTCCCTTTCTCAGCCTCGGGAGAATTCAGACGGGAGTGGAGAGACATGTCATGAGTAACGGCTAGAAAAAGGTTAAAGTTTCAGTCCGAATGGACAGTGCGTGAAGAATCTATTTTATATAATCATGAGTTTCAAACCATGCTAGCAGAGATGGTTGAAGTACACACATCCTTTCCTCAAGTAGAAGTACAGATACTCGTGTTTAAAAATACTCTGGTGAAAGTAGAAGTACTGACTAAACTTCTTTACTCAAGTGAAAGTAAGAGGCTTTGAAATGTACTTCAGTAAAAAGTACCCATAACTAGCAGCTGTTTTAAAGAGTACCTGACCTCCCTTTATATTAATAGAACAATAATGTCATAAATACTATTATTGGCGGACAATGCCAAACAATAGATGTTGTTTCTCCAACACTGCAGACCAAACGATATCAAACCCAGTGTTTTACAGATATGTTGAGGATGCAAACCAGCCGTATGCTCGGTTGGAGCCATTGTGGGCGGTAATGGGTATTTAATTCCAAAATGCGCCTTGTGTTGCCAGATCAGATTCATAGTTGCCAGCCCAATCACAACTTGAAATTCTCCCAATAAAATGAAAAATGGGCCAAATCATTACCTTATGCGTAACCCAGTAGAAAAACCATCATATGCAAATAAGCTTTATACAATAGACAAGATCAGATGACTCCTTTAAACACAAAGAACAGGGTGTTATTCTATAAAAATATAGTATGAGGGCGCGGAAGTTTCCCCCTTTCCACTAAAGTATTGCCCTCATTGTCTATAAAAAACCCCTGCCTCTGGTGGAAGTAGAAGGCAGAAACATATCAAATAAGTGTCCACGGATGTTCACATCTATCACTGAAGGAATGTATAAAACATGGGACGACTTGTGTTCAGCTAATCTAAAATCAGTATTTGATGGAGAAATGTGAGGCTTTGTGTTCTCATCGTGTGTTGTGAGAACCCCTGCTGGGAGGGAGGCTCAGCAGGAGAGCAAAATCACCCATATCCTCTTTGTATTTTACACCTCTTTATTTCCAAAGACCTCCTACCGTGGCACTGAGCTCTCCATTCACAGGCTGGTCAAACTCGCTGGTTAAATCTAAACCGAGTTGGAGAAACGACAGGCGGCGCCCGGCATTTGAAGCGACTGAGAAACGTTTGAATACAAGGGGAACATGGTGGGCGACGGATTGATGATTTTGTTGGTACAAAAGTGGCTGTGGAAACCTGTCGATAAGGCAAACGCACAAAGGCCGGCTGCCATAGAACTAAAAGGTTAAATAAAATAGTGTATGAAAGGAAAAAGGGAGACTGTGGGGAGAAATGAAGAGAGACAAAGCTACTGAGAGGGAGTTATGACCTCAGTGAGGTTTGATATGAACTGTAAACACTGCTTTGTCAAGGTAGCAGAATGAGTCCTCAAACCCTGTGTAATTATCATAATTGTTTTCACACAGATTATTTTATGCAATAAGTAGAAAAATCCACATGGAGAAATCCCACTGGCTTTGGGTGGAGGGAACCAGGGAGATTCTAAGTAAGAAGAAGAAGAAGAAAAGCAGGTGTGGTGTTTACCTTGAAGGACTGCCAGAGCCGATCAGCCAGGGCGCTGATTTGAGAAAGGATGACGGAGGAGAAAGGATTTGGACATGCGGCTTTCCCCAGCGTGATCAGGCACTCCATCAGCTTCTCTGAGGTCTGGAGCTGCGGGGTGGAAACACAAGAGATTCACTACAGTTCGATTTCTTAAAAACATTTATATCCCTTTATATCAATTAACATCAGAAAAACATACCAAGTCTGCTAAATGTATTCGTTGTGGGTTCAGAGCAATGTGTTGTTCTTTTATTAAACAAAATGCATTAAAACAATGTATACAAGTATATGGTTTAATTTTTAAGTTATTTTAGTAGTATCGTAATTAACAAGTGTCCCGAAAACAGCGGTTACCTGTACCCATAGTAATCAAACAAACAGGACTATTTTCTGTGGCGGATTAATCCATATTTGGTGCTCTAGTGCAGGGTGCCCAACCTGTCGATCGACCGGGAGATTCCCAGTCGATCGCGAGATGTGTCTAAAAATAGAACAACAATATTCTGTTTTATCGTTAATGTCCTAGAACATAATCTTCCTGTGCCAGAATAATGCACTTGAACGCATCAAAGCTTTGTGATGG